AGGGTATTTTCCGTCTAAAGGAAGGGATCCATTCTCTCTCACACAGAATTTACCCTAAAAAACTCTCTCTAAGAAAACTAACTTGATCGTCGGAGCGACGTCCCGGGAGAACACCCGGTCGTCCTTTAACGGTTTCTTTGTGTTGTGTTCTCAGGAAAGTTTGGACGTTAGATCTGCCATCTAGCATCTCATCCCTGATAGGACATGTCACAACAGATATCATTATCATAATTAAAGGATTTTGTTAAATTTGGATAATGATAAGATTATTTTGATTTAAAATTTAACCTAGTATTTTGAAAAGTTTTAAAATACACCCTCTTGGTTTTATAATTTAAATTTGAAATTAAAAGTTTATTTTGAAAATTTAAATGGAAAAACCTAGAAGATATCTTTATGGAATTAATTAATAATTTAATTAAAAGAATAATTAAAAGACAATTAATAAATCTATAAAATGGTTTAGATTTAATTAAATTAAAAGTTTAATTTATTAAAAGATTAAACCTTAGTATTTTAAATGTTTAAAATACACCCTTATACTATATAAAATTAAAAGTTTAATTTATATATATATATATATATATATATATATATATATATATATATATATATATATATATATATGTATAAGAAAAGTCAGTCTTACCGTTAGTAGGCGTCATTCACGAAGCTGGTCTATAAGGGGTGTTTAAGGAAGCGGCCTGTAAAATGACCACTATTGGGTATCCACTCTTACCCACCACACTCTTGACTAGTGGAGGGTCGTTAGCCATGGGTAGGATAGGACATTAAACTCAATTCTCATTAAAAGTATAATGAGTTATAAAGTAACTAAACGCTTTTATTAAATTCCCAATCTTAGTTACTTTAGGAAAAATGTGAATTTGATGCTAACCCATGAAATTGCACATTGCACCTTATTGGTCGTTAGTGGAGCGTGTGTGGTTAACCGGCACACTAATATGGAACTAATATTGTTGGCAATGGGTTTCTCATAAATTATCGTTGATCAATGGAGCGTGTGTGGTTAACCGGCACATTGATTAGGTGATAAATGACATCGAGAGTACCAAGCTAATTTGCATGGTTATTCACATCTCTTTTGTGATCCTCGGCATCCCAGTCACAAAGTGAGAGCATAATCGAGATTAAACATGTCATTGAAAAATTCAATGAATCTCAAAAGATCTAGCAATTTCATCTAAAACCTAATACATTTAAAAAAAATTCATGGTGGAATTGGTAAATCGTCATTTACCTACCTTCAAATAATTTACAATTCGATTACGGCATCCCTCTTCCGAATTGTGAATTATGTGTTGAGTCCTAACCTTAATATTTTATTTGGGTGTTATATTAAGGATCAAAATCAACTAACTTGAATTTTCTCTCCTTATAGATGTCGAGTTCTGACAACTATGGTCTTCCTCATCCTTTTGGAAAAAGATTTTCGTCTGAAGATGATGTTCCACGTGTCGATCAAGGTGAAAGATCATTCCCTTCGTCGTGCATTGGTGGAACTGGAAATCATACTTCTCTTCCTCCACCTCCTCCAGTGATTCTCCATGGCCCACAATTTCGTCAACTTGAAAAGTTCAAGGTTACTCAAGCCCTATTGGCATGCAAACACCAAGATGGAAAGTTTGTGTGTGTACATGTCCTCAAGATGAAGTCGCACATTGACAGATTGGGAATGTTGGGTGTCATTTTCCCAAAGGAGCTGGTTGTTGACTTGGTTCTTCACTCGCTTCCTGAGTCGTATAGTCAGTTTGTTAAGGACTATTATATGAATAAAAACGACGTGACCCTAATTGATCTGACATATTTGCTAATTGTTGCTGAAGCAGCAATGCTTTGGCGCACTGGTCAAGCAAATTTGTTTGGAGGATCAGTTTCCCAAAGTTCCATAGAAGTTGGTGATGGCAACGGTGATAGTCTAGAAATGGTTTCTCCTCCTAAGGGAGAGAAATCGGCCAAGGTCAAAAAGTTTGACCATAAGAGAAAAGCCAATTATGTGATAGTTCCATGTGTCAATGCTAAGGAGTCCACCTGTTTCTATTGTCAATCGAAGGGGCATTGGAAGCGAAGCTGCCCAGACTACCTGAGAGATCTTAGAGATGGTAACGTCACACTTTTTATAAGTTTATAAGTTATGGGAACTTTTATTTTATAAATGCTTTTTGATACATACTACACACATACATTCTTCCTTTACGCTGAAGGCGTACAAATACAAAACATTTTACAAGGATACGATTTTTACACAAGGGAAAAATATCGGATTTTTCTGCAACTGAACTCTTATGAACTCACCAACTTTATGTTGACTTTTAAAACGGCATGTAATCTCAGGAAACAATTAAAATCGGATCAGTGGAGCTACTTTTGAAGACAAGACACCAAATATCATTACGAGAACTATTTTATTTAATAATATGCAAACCTTGTAATGTATTTTGATACTAAGTGACATTTGGGTCATGTAACTGATATAATCATATGATATGATGGTCTTTTATGTACTTATGTTTCAATGTATTCAATTATTGTGATACTGTGATCATCGTTCCACCCCCGGACGTTTCCGCCATCCGGTTTGGGGGTGTGACAGATACTTTAACTGAAGATGATAAGAAACAAATTCAAAAGAATTCTAATGATAGTCATATCTTCTTGTGTAACAAATTAAATTGTGATGAGTCTCAGAATGTTCAAATTGAATCTGATTTTCATGAAAGTGACTTAAGTGAAATTTCGATAGAAGATGAAATTGATTGTTCAAACTTTGTGATAACTAAAGAAAACCCAAAAAGGAAATTAATTCTTGAAGATTCTCTTGAATACATATATGTTATTAAAAGTGAAGGTTTTAAAGGTTTGATTGAACAAGAAGATGTTTTCCGAAAGTTCAGAATTGTCCTAATCAAGTATTTGTTACGAATGGTTTGGAGAAAACTGATATTGTTGATTTAACTACTATTGTTAAGACTGATAATGCAAAATCTTGTGATAATCATTTTGGGTCTGTTCTAATAGATAATGGTGATGAAACAATAGGTCTTTTAGAGAAAACATCATGGAGAGTGAAGGGTAGATACATCTCAGGTGTCTTAAATGTAGAATCTTTGTCACAAGTTGAAATAGGAAATTCTGATGAAGGAACTTCAATACCAAATTTGAAAGAGAAATCTAAGATGAGTGATCAGGATGTTAAGGTCAAAAAGGAGAAGAAAAAAAATGAATAAGCTAGAAGAGCTAGATACAAGAAGAATTCTCAAGATAGGAACTTTTGATAGAGATTATGATGCGGAATTAATGTTAATCTTGTAGATCGTATGATTAGCTCAACAATAATTAAGTGAGGAATATTAAGAACATTTTATATCGAAAATATAGCAGCACAATAACTAAATAAATATAAGCCAAATAAGATATACTTGTTGAATCGTAACAAGGTTTGCATGCAAACACAAGTTAGTAAATGAAGAACAACAAAGTATGAATGGAAAAATGAGATTTTTATTTCGATAAACAGATTACAAGTAAAATAAAGATTCGAGACGCACTTTTTGCAATAACTCATACCACCTATTTATAGCTAAATATTATTCTAGCTAATGACTGGACAGTACAAAAAGGTATGGAGAACAGGCGGACATACTTGTCACACATATTCTGACAAACGGCTACCAAACACTCAACGTCGGAAAAAGTTGAGTGTTGTACTTTTTCTTCACGACACCAGAAGACAAAACACCATTTACTCTTCGCACATACTCCTTAACTCCATTCTTCAGATAGTCAGTTTCAATCAACTAAGTTCTTCGCATATCATCCAAAAGAGACTTCATCGTATCACTAGCACCAAAAGATCTTCGCATCTTCATAATAAAAATAAACTTCGTAAACGCCCAAAAGCCTTTACTTGTCGAGGGTCACTTCATGCTTCAACAATTTCCCCCTAAGTGACCACGCAACTATCATCCTCACTTGCGAAGCTTAAAGAACCATACAAGCAATTTCGAGAAGTTCCTCACTCCAAACAACCATTAGGGAACCATGTGGTTTTACCTTTTAGACTCGTCACTGCTAAGAAGAGGTGACAAGCAGAAAATGTAAAGCAAACTACCACTCTGAAATGAAACTCGGAATGACTGTACATTCCGGAATATATTTTCGAAATATATTTTCAAGTAAGGAATATGTGTGTCAGATTCCATACTCAAATTTTAACAACCACCACCAACTCCAAAATTGTCATTATACTTCAAAATACCACATTCCGAAAAAAATGGTTATTTTACAAATTTTATAAAATATTGATTATTTTTTCCAAATACTCTATAATTATAACAACCAATGATATACTTTGCGTCTCTGAAATAATTTATCTATATTCCACATGCATTTCAACATTTAGTAGGTTTTGATTAGAAAAATCTACAACATTTGCTACAAATAATACTGATAAATACTTGTGATTTATGATGTGTATGTGCATTATGTATATGCCTGGAATTTGATTTGGTTTCTTTGTTAAAGCTATTGATTAGCTTGGGCACAAAATTTCAAACCTGATTCGCTCAAGCTCATTGTGTTGGCTGAACCATTTGGATGTTATACCAAAGTTTGGAGGGTATAATGGTCCACTTTGGCTATTTCGAGTTAATGAAGACCGAGGTGTTGTTTTAAGATTTTAGAGGTTATAGAAGTCCTTTTGGTTGTTGTCACGTGTTGTAGTTTAGGCTTCGTAATATGATTTGGATCCTTATAATGTTTCCCTTATATGTTTTTTTATAAGAATTGTTTCCAAATAACAGAAAAATGAACTATATTTAACTCTAAAAAAAATAATAATACTACGAGCAATCTCAATAGAAAGTTGAAAACAGATAAACGAAGTAACACTTAAATTTAAACATATTTATACCATATTATATAATAATCCAAGTTAAACGTTAAACCAAATACCCTCATCTCACATACCAATATACACAAAATACTTCTCAAACACCTAAAATCCTAAAAAAAAAAAAAAAATACAAGACTTAACATTCCATAAGTTTCAAACATTAATCAATTATTCAACAACTTTTAACTTCCACACGCCATGCATTCCTCACGATTCATCAAAGAACACACCATTTGTGACATTTTTGTGTTATCATCTTCTTCACCAGTTGTTGCCTTTATATTTTCCTACATTCATTCCAATTACTTTAGTCTATACAATTTAATAAAAAAAATGATTTTAATAATATAAATCATAAGTTACCTTGAGAATAGAAGTATCAACAGTGAACTTAATGGCATCAGCTGCAGCCCTTGATCGCAAATAATACATTCCAGTTTTAAGCCCCTGATACACAACATTAAACATAAATCATTTCTTGTATGTACAAATAATAACAATTTTAAAATTTAAAATTTAGTTTGAATAGTTTTAGTACCTTAGACCAAGCATGAAAATGCAAAGAAGTGAGTTTGCCAAAGTTGGGTTGATCCATATGAATGTTTAAGCTTTGACTTTGGTCAATGTAGCATCCTCGGTCAACTGCCATGTCAACCAAAGTCCTCTGCTTGATCTCCCAAACAGTTCTGATTTATATATATTATGTTTTCACATTAGAATGAGGTTTAAAAAAATAATAATAACAAATAAAAGGAAATGGAGTTTTAAATCATACTTGTAAATAGCTTTCAAATTCTCAGGGATTTCAGTAATTTTCTGAACAGATCCATCTTCATAAATGATCTGATTCTTGAGAGTTGGAGACCAAAGCCCCATTTCAGTCAAATCATACAATAAATGTTTGTTCACTACAACAAATTCACCACTGCAAAAAAAGAATTTGTTAAATTACAATTTACAAAAATAAAATGAATAATTTAGCATCTTTTCATTTTGCTAAATAATGAAATGAAGTGAATAAATTGGCTAAGGAATGGAATAGGTGATTCCATTCCATTAGATAAAACAAATGGTTTTTTTTTCATTTTTTGATTCTAATGGAATGAACCATTCCATTCCTTTCTTGATTCCTTCATTCCATGGGAATAGACCATTCCATTCCTTCCATGATTCCATTATAAAAAAACAATGGAATCATAATCACTCACCTTAAAACTCTGCGACTGTAGATATTGGAGGTGTATGGCTCAAAGCACTCATTGTTTCCAAGAATTTGACTAGTTGAAGCAGTTGGCATAGGAGCTACAAGAAGGGAATTGCGTATTCCATTCTTCTCTATCATTGCACGAAGAGCATTCCAATCCCACAAATCAGAAGGTGTCACTCCCCACATGTCTGGTTGCAGAATTCCCTAAAAGTTACATTCCACAATAATTAATCATAATTATTAACAACTATTTATTAAAAAGTAAAAATCAAAAATCACAACTTTCCTTAATTTCAAAACCCATAAATTTATTTTCTTTGTTGATTCACATTGGAATAGAAAGTTGCAACTCTAAATCTAACAATGCAACTTCTAAAGACTCAAACCCTAGTTTGTTTCCAGGGGTAAAAAGGTAATTTCAAAACCCATATCACAACTTTCCTTAATGTCAAAACCCATAAATTTGTTCTTTGTTAATTCACATAGGAATTAAAAGTTGGAAACAATGATTCTTCAAAAAACTAAAACCCTAGTTTGTTTATGAAAAGGTACTGCTTTAGGGGTAAAAAGGTAATATAAACATACAATCCAAAGAGATTTTCACATACCTTACTAACAGGACTTCCAGGATATGTTTCATAAGTGCCTTCTTTTGCAGCTAATTCAGATGAAGCTTTGAGGGCATGGTAGTAAATTGTCTCAAATATGTCTTTGTTCAGTTGTTGAGCCTGGATTTCAAAAACAAAATATATATGATTAGAATTGAAAAGAAGAAAACAATTTGAGGATTAAAAATAAAAAAGAAGATAAGAATTACCTCTGGTGAATCAAATGGCATACCAAGCAAAATAAAAGTATCTGCAAGACCTTGAACCCCAATACCAATGGGCCTGTGTCTTAAGTTTGACCTTTTTGCAGTTTCAACAGGGTAGTAGTTAACATCAATGATTTTGTTGAGATTTATTGTAACAACTGATACAATCTGCACAACATAACACATGTATAGATTTATAATCATGATGAAATTACAGATTATAGAGATAATAGCAAGAAATAGCAATGTACTTTCATTAATTTATTTGTTATAGCATTCTTTACTCCAATTATCACATGCTATACATTTTAAAGTAGAAATCAGTAATAGTAAGATGCTATATGTTATAACAAATAAATCATTGAAAGTGTGTTTGCTATTTCTTGAATTTACTTCTTGATTCTAAAGCATAAGACATGAGTTTTAGAGTCAAACCTCAGCTAATTTGTCAAAGTCAAAGTATCGGTTGCCAGAACCTTTGCTACCAACAAGCTTTGATGGTTGAGATTCAGCTGGAACTCCCTGAAAGAGATGATAATTGAAACTTAAAATGAAAAATAACAAAAACACAAATATTATAATCATATTTAAGAACATATTATTAAAATAATACCTTCTCCCGAACATATCTTGGTAATGCAATGGATGCCAGATTACACACTGCAGTTTCAGTTGGACTTGTGTACTCGATAATTTCAGTACACAGATTTGAAGACTTGATTGTTCCAAGATTCTGCTGATTGCTTTTTCTATTACAGGAATCCTAATAAGAGCAAAAAAAAAAGTTTTTTTTATTACAATGTGAAAATTAATATGAAGAAAAAAACATAAGTATTCAAAAGTTTGTAAAACTACCTTGAATAGCATGTAAGGAGTTCCAGTTTCAATTTGGGATTTCAAAACTTCAAACCAAAGACTTTGTGCCTGAACAACTTTCTTAGCTTTCCCCTGAATTTGTACAAAAGAATTTCATTAACTGATAGAACTGGTATAAAAAACGAATTTATTCATAAAATGTTTGATGAAAATGATAGTTTTACCTGTCTTTCATATTGGGTATAGAGGTTTTCAAAGTCTTTACCCCAACAATCAGCCAAACCTGGAGCCTCATTTGGACAAAATAAAGACCAAGTTCCATTACTTTGAACTCTTTCCATAAAAAGATCAGGTACCCAAAGAGCATAGAACAAATCACGAGCACGTTGTTCTTCCTGCAAGATTTTTTAATCAAGTTTAAAACTTTATGCATCCCCATTATGGTTTTTCAATTTAACTTTTAAAGGGTATTGACAATTGAAACAAATTTGCTACCTTTCCATGGTTTTTCCTCAAATCAAGAAACTCAAAGATATCAGCATGCCATGGTTCCAAATAAACAGCAAATGCACCCTTTCTTTTACCACCTCCTTGGTCAACATATCGAGCAGTATCATTAAACACACGCAACATTGGAATAATACCATTAGATGTTCCATTTGTGCCACGTATGTAACTTCCAGTAGCTCTGATATTATGAACAGAGACACCAATACCCCCTGCTGATTTGCTGATAACAGCACATTCTTTTAGAGTATCATAGATGCCTTCAATGCTATCATCTTTCATGCATATCAGGAAACAGCTACTCAACTGCAAATTACATAATTAACCCCATGTGAGAAACAAATAAAAATACAAGTTAATGAAACAAAGAAAGGTAAAGATAATTATTCATACTTGAGGCCTGGGTGTTCCAGCATTGAAAAGGGTGGGAGAAGCATGAGTGAACCACCTCTGTGACATTAAATGATAAGTTTTGATTACAGAATCAATGTCCTCTTTATGAATCCCAACTGCAACTCTCATCAGCATATGTTGAGGCCTTTCCACAACATCCCCTTCTATCTTCAAGAGATAAGACCTCTCAAGGGTTTTAAAGCCAAAATAATCATAGTCAAAGTCTCTGTCATAGATAATCTCACTGTCTAACTTTGCAGCATGCTGAAACAAAAACAATTCATACATAAATAACCAAATAAGAAATCAGTATAAAATTTATTTTATTCATAAACTAGCTTTCTCGATAGGTGTTAAAGACTAGATCCCCACATCAGAACAGACAAACAAGTACATAAAGGGACATCAGTTCTGAATTATGCTGATGGCTATGTAGCCAGCAGTAAATATGGTCTAGAAGCTACTGATAGATCAATAACATCAGAATTAAATCCCAAAACAATTATAGTGTATTGATGAGCATGTGTCACCTTCATGATGATTTCATAAACATCATCAGCAATAAGAGGAGCCTTCTGCCCAGATCTGTCACTGATATGAGAGTACATATCTTTGATCCTGCAATGACAACCGATATTTATAAAGATCAGGGTCTTAAACACTGATATGAACAAAACTGTGTTAATTAAGATAGATCGAGTTCACTTACGTTTCAGAAAATGATTTCTTAGTGTTCTTGTGCAGATTTGAAACAACGATCCTTGCAGCCAACTGTATGAAATGCAAATTACAGATAAAAAAATTATTAGCAAATCAATTGGTTAATGATCATATTCAAACAAGAAGAAAAGGTTTATCCTAGTTAATTTCATCAACAGATCCTAAAAAACCCTGATCGAGAACTCTCAGAGAAAAGAGGAGATGTTAGCTAATATCAACTACAAACTTGAAAAAATAGCGAATCCACGCTGTGCGATTCAAATGTTTTGAGGATCTAACTAATTGCTGCCAATTAAAGAACAAATTATCATATCCTATCTTAAAAACAAAATAATTGAGACCAAATGAACAATTAGAGGGCGAGTATAAGAACTTACGGAAGCATAGTCGGGATGGTTGGCAGTTAGAGCAGCGGCGGTTTCCGCGGCAAGTTCATCAAGCTGGCTGGTCGTAACACCCTTGTAAACACCAGCACACACCTTCTGGGAAACAAGCACCGGATCACAGTGTTCAATGCTGAGTCCATAACTGAGCTTCTTCAATCGCGCAGTGATTTTATCAAAATGCACAGTCTCTTGACGCCCATCTCTCTTCACCACATACATGTTTTTGAGAGTAATTGAGAAGGGGGTTTCTTGTAACCGATTGTAGATAACAGGAAGAAGGCTACTACTATGGATTATATAGCATGGGGAAGTGTGTGTGTGTGGGTGTGGAGGCGTTTGAATTTTGGAATTAGGGTTTCCCTCAAAATTTAGGCTTTCCCGCCAGTTGGATAGGCGCGGGTAAATTTGGTAGGTGTGGAGCTGTCTTCGGAGTTTGGGACCACTTGCTTTTGCTTTAATTATATGGTTCTTTATAAATTTATGAATATCAAAACATTTCAACACATTTAATTATATGGTTTGTCCCAAAAACAAAGAAAATAATCTTGAAACTTAAGCATGAGTTCTAAAACAAACACATGGAGGTAATAATGTTTATTTGTGACTTAAATGTGTTGATTCTTTTTATTCAATAAATGATATAATTTATTTATTGATAGCTATTAAAATAGATAATATTCTATATATCACAAAACTAGTTGGTATTAGGTAACTACAAATTAAAAGAATGAAGTAATCTTTTATTTGTGTAGAAATGTTCGGTCAAAAATAATCGTATGTTTTTAAGTAAATGATTTAAACGTGTATTCTGAACAAAATTTATTCGTTGATTCGAGATTTTTTTATAAAAATAAAAACTAAATTTTCTAAAATCTTTAAAACTCAGTTGTCAAACATATGAAAAAATTTAAGTCCAAACTTTATTTTATTTTTTAGATCCAAGAAAATTTACAATTTTGCAATTTATCAATATTTATGTAATATTGTCTAATAAATACATAGTCGAACACACTATAAAGTAATTTAGATCCTAATAAATACATAGTCGAACACACTATAAAGTAATTTGTCTAACACATGGGTTGTAATAAGTTGTAACTATACAACACTTATTTTATTGTTTTTGCGGGTTTTGGGTGATTTGAATTTTGAAGAGCATATTCGGTTACTTATATAGCTTCTTTGGCACTCTTTGTGTTTTTGGGTTAGTAATGGCTTCTTTGGCACTCTTTATGGTTTTTGTTTTTGGCGCCATTACGCTAGCCTCATTCACATTATAAACCTGACTATTTTTTCTCATTTGCCTTTTTGTTTTTTATTTTGAATCTTTTCTAGAATACGATGGTACTATTTCTTGAATTCTTTTAAATTTTTCTGTTTATTTTAATAAATATATGTAAAACAGGCCGGACATTTAGTTAACAATTAAAAGAAAAAACTATTTATTTACATTTATTTACAAAGCGAACAAACATTAACATTTTTTTAATTGAGGGGATGAACATGAAGAGATTTATCGGTCGTGTATTCATTTTTTTAATAGTGAGTTTAGTAGAAATTTGAATTTCAAAAACTTCTTTTCGGCCCTTCGGCATCTGTCCATAAATGGCGAAAGAGTAAAATAAATAAATTCATATACTTGTCACGAGTAAACCAAACTACCAAAGTATAAATGAGAGTACTTTTACTTTAATTTTAACAGAGGTTATGTTTATAAGTTAGTTTACTTTTTTATCTATAAAATAGTTTAAAAAGCTAACTTATTAGTTTTTTTAAAAGGTATCTAAACTAGTTTTTCATGAGTTTTTCTATAATTTTCCAAATATAACTTTAATTAATTATAAATATTATATTTTTCTAAATGTCTTTTATGTCATTTTATATATTTCAGCTAGTTTTTATCAAATATCATTTTTTTTATTAGTTAGCTTATAAGCTAGCAGTTATCTCTTCAACTAACAGCTATTTTTTCAGCTATTAGCTAACTTCTCACCTACTACGTCAAACATAGTCTAAGAAATAATCGATCAAACATAGTCTAAGAGATAATCGATCAGGAAAACTAATTGCATATGTTAAGTTGTTATTGTTAACGTTTTGAAATGTTATTATTTTTATTAGAGCAATTTTAATGCAAGATTTAAAAAAAAAAAACTTTTTACTAGTCGTTTAAAAGTTATGATCTTCTAGTGAAAAGTTTTTTATCCAATAATTCATTGTCAAAAGATAAAAAAGTTTTATGCAAAGTTTATATATATTGGAGTAAAAAAAGTTATTAATTTAGTGAAAAGTTTTTTATCTAATAATTCATTGTCAAAAGATAAAAAAGTTTTATGCAAGTTTATATATATTGGAGTAAAAAAAAGTTATTAATTTGCTAGTGGAAAATCTAATACAGCAACATTTTATAAAAATTTATGTATTTGAAATGCTATTATATCAATTTTTTATTTTTTTATTTATTAAAACTGTTATAGACATTTTCTAATGATTAACCTTTTCAAAAAAGATTATAATTTTTTTTATCTTTTTCTCATATGTTATTTAAACTTGTCTTATATAATTTTTCAAATTTTAATACTACATCATATTTTTTAACAATAACATATTAATATTTTAAGTATATTACAACAATATTTTTTAAATTTCTGTATTTGTATCATTTAAAAAAAAGGCTAGACAATTTTTTGATCGTTTTATATATATAATTAAAATTGACAGAATCAATAAAACTACTAAGAGGTTCGAGTTTCTTAAGTGGTTTAAGTGAGGGCTCTACAAAAGTCTCATCTTTTATTGTAAAAGTTTTACAAAAGCATGTTTAAATAGTAAAAATGTCTTACAAAAGATTATCATTAGAGATATTTTTATTAAGGGTTTGTTTGACCATACGAATGATTCATGTCTGAATCATTTAGGTGTTGTTTTTCTTAAAGACAAAATATATGCAGTATGTGAACCATATTTGCATAACATCTTATGTGTATCAAAAGTTATTGAACAAGTTGTTCGAGGATAAATTGGGGAACATCATAGAAGTGTACATCGATGACATGGTTGTCAAGTCCAAGAAAATTGAAGATCACCTCAAAGATCTAGAGGAGACTTTCAACATCTTGGACAGATAAAACATGAAGCCCAACCTCTCAAAATGTCAATTCGGGATTCAAAAAAAAAGCAAGTTCCTATGATTTATGGTCACTAAAAGATGCATAGAAGCAATCTCGAAGAAAATCAAGGCAATCATTAATTAAATACCCCAACATCAATTAAGGATATCACAAGCAGAGTCGCATCCCTAGATAGATTTATCTTTGGATCCTCATAAAGATGTAAGTTGTTTTATGACATCCTAGAGAAAAACAAAAGATTCGAATGGACAAAGTCGGGAAACTAATTGGCATCCTCTTCTTAGAATCTTCATAGAATTTAAGGAATACTCATCCTCAACCCCATTGTTGGTAAGAACAATAAAGGGATAATTGTCATTCATATACCTTGCAGTCTCTAAGGACGCTATGTGTGACAACCATCAAATTTCGGTCAAGTCAAAGTCAAACAAAGTCAACTAGTCAAACCGGTCAACTCCATTAACCCTTGTATGATAGGGTTTACGTTATGTAATCACTGTACAATTCGCTATTTTAATGAGAAAACATCATTTGGAAAGTTCATGTGTTTGATTTTCCTTAGCCTTAACAGTGCTAAACAATGAACCAAAGCGATAAAACACTATTGCACAATCATCGGGATTGTGTAGGACACTAAATCATGGTTTAACGGGGTCTATGGACCTTGCGTTGCGAAGCCGGACACTCAAAAAGATCACAAACGAAACCTCTCTCAATCTCATTCAAACCCTACTCAAGATTACTTGACGCTAATAGGATCGAAACTCATACACTACGATATAAATTGACGTTAATAGCAACATAGTATAGTACAACGTTATAACTATAATCAAATTAAATTATGATACCATATTAAAATCAAATCAAAGTATAATGCTCTAATTAAATTTAAAAGAATCAAACTTGAATGCTATAATTAAACTTCAAATCAAAGTAGATTGTTATAATCAAATAATAACTCATCTTTTATAAAACTCCATTTTTATAAACTTTACATTAAATTTTATAAAACTCTACTTTTATAAACTTTACATTAAATTTTATAAAACTCTTATATTAATTATGTAAAAGATGCTTGTGTTAGTGGGAAATTATGAAGACCACCAAAAGCAAAAAGATTATTCCCATGGTCTCCCACTCACACCTCCCATCCACTTTCCTTTCATTTTTCTCCCAACACATTATTCTCTTCACCACTTAAACCTTCTCTATTCTTTCTCTCACTCTCAATCTCGAAATTCATCCAATATAAATACTCATATTTCAGCCAAGAACAATCTATTATACTCAAATCTTCATCCCTCTTGAAGCATTCATCAATGTATGTTGTTAAAAGTTTCATATTCATACAAGAAACAAATTAAATCCACCAAAATATCTAAAACTCATTTTATGCATAAACCTGGGTTTTTCTCAGAATCCCATCAATAAATAAAGAAGTTCTGGAAATTTTCAGAAAATAACTTATTTTTATTGAATTACTATAATTATTGCAATAAAGTAGGGCAATAATTCACATAAAATACTTTTTGCATTCAATAAATTTTGAGAAAATTCTGGGATGACCTGTATACTGATTAAACATGATATATGAAGTTTCATGCATTTATATTACTTTTTACTATTAATTATGATTTTATTGATTAATTAATAATGAAATATATAAAAAATACTTCCCATAGTCACAAATATCTGAAACTTATACACTGAGCTCTACATCATGTTATAAAACTATGGTTAATTTTACAGATTTTTTGAGAATCATTTACTATTTTTCCCGAATTTTGTGTTGTTTAATCATTAAAATATTAAATAAATACTAAAACAGTTCAGAAAAATATACAAATTTTACAGTAATTCATATTGTATGAAATAATGATTTCCTAATAATTTCATAATTTTTCAATACTGTTTACTATTTAAAACTATTTTCCTAAGTATTTAAGCATGTAAAAATGCATTTTAATGATTATTTCATATAAATAATTGTTAAAATCTGTAAATAATTATAATTGGGCAAGTTATTATTTTAATAAGAAATTATTAAAATCTGGCCTAAATTGAAAATATAAATTAATTATGCAAAGTAAGTAATTCAATTTAAAATTCATTTAACAAATAAATACCTTAATATTATAATCAAAATGAATTATTGTTAATTCATCTAATATAAGAATATGTGTCTAATTATTTGTATTAATACTCCATTCTCGTTTAGCAGTTCCTAAA